GCTGAAATCGTTTAACTTTCAGTAAATTCACCCTAAATATTTAAAACATACATAATTGTAACTTGGGATACGTATACATGCCAAACTCTAAAATACTTTTGAATGAATCACTTTTCAAAGTCATCTCTTCCATCTGGCCACACGACTTACCTCTTTTCATTTGCTTATTAATTTATATGAAAGTAAGATCCTACTCTAAATTTAATATTAAGGATAAAATATTCAAATCCACTTGCAACCCATGAGCTCTGAATATCTCACATAATATACAGACAAGCAAAATCCAAGAGTCCTATGCCAAGGTTAGAATAGTACAGGTTTTGGATATGTAATTACTTCGTTTGTAGGTATGCAAAGTGCTCTTAATGAGGCATCCATACATGTTGCATCAATTTTACCAAACTGGAGGCTTTAAAATGAAATTCTTATATTTACCATTCATATATTTTATTAATGCTAAAATAGACTTTAAAAGTTTAATATAATATAGCAGGAACCTGGATAAAGAGCAAGGATTATTTTTCTAACCTACCTATACAACAACTATTATGCAAAAAATCTTATTACAAAAACGGTCTCAGTAATAATACAGTTAAATTTGTTATACGCACACTTCCTGTTATCTAACCCTTTTTCTGGTGTTATTCTCAGTCTTCCTTCCACTGTGTCTCCGAGTCCTGAGGTTGACAGCTTCAATCTCTGGGGCAGGGTTATGGTGAATTGCCGGTATCCCAAGTCCTTTATGAGGAGGAGGTGTGATGTTCATGTTGATGATTTCGTCTTTCTCACTCTAGGATCCACTTACATCCAGATTTACTATATATGGCCCATATTACATATGGTAGATAGTTTGTTCTCTTTGTTATTCCTAAAACCAGTTTTGTCCAGCTCCCAGAGCTGCAATTCTTTAACTAGCCATTCCTGAGTTGTATATGGCCTTGGTCTGCCGATGTTACCCTGTGCCTTCTATCTTATCATCCCATGCCTATAGTCTTCCACTCTATATGCTCTCTCTCTACTTCTCAAGGCCCCTGCTATCATACTAGGTCTGTATTTGTCTACACTAAGTCATTATCTTAAAGTCATAAATATTTCATTTTGCACAGAACAAATTCTTATTGCTCCTATCTTTATAAAACTCTTTACATTGTATAAAAATGAGCAAAACAATTTAGACATATCCACCTGGTCCTTAGAAGAACTGCTGTTACAGCTAAGCCAAGTAAAGAGCTCCAGGCAAGTGAAGCAAGCTCAGACAAACCACAAACCACATCTTGCAGGCCCTGCAAACTCAGTACCAAGTTTGTGGCCTGTTACAAGCAATGGCTGTACTGTGTTCACTGGAGTGCAGGGCTACAAAACACAGTTACTATCTCTGCTTCACTTTAATGCTGTATATTCTTTTACAGATGTATAAAGATGTATTGAATTACTTTGAATTTAGTAATAGGGACTTTGGTATGAGGTGATGTTAAATGCTCTGTTTTATGAAAGAAAAAAGATACCTGATTCAGCAGTGTTTCTAAGTAAAGTAAGTGGGCAGTTTTTCTTTATTTTATGCCATGGAAATAGGACTAACATAAATACATTTTCATCTCGTTCTGTTAAAGTAATATTTAATGTAGGCACTCTTTCTCCTGATGGATTGTTTTCTTACAGACGTCAATAATATCCTGCATAGTTAGTTGTTGCTAAAGTTTTCCAAAAAGCAAGTGTTTTCAATTTATATTTGACTGTATTAACTGACCATAATCTTGGCTGATTTTATATTTACAATATTGTAACTTTTTTATGTTTCTGAGCTAATATTGCAGTTATATTGAATAAAGTGCTCACGCACTTGTCATGTATCTGGGGTGCATCTGATTAAAATGCCAGTGTACCATAAAAACCAATTCATGCCTGGCACAAGAACTGCGGAAGTACCTAGTTTGGTAAATGGTTTGATGATATGTTCTTTCTTGGTGTGGCT